AATATATTATATATTATATATTATATATTATATATTATGTATTATATATTATATATATTATATATTATATATAATATATTATATACTATATATTTATATATTATATATTACGTATAAACTAGATATAATATATAATTTGCTTCTATTACTAAATTTGTAAACATATTATGCTACAGCACTCCAACACATAGAAAGACGCTCTCCTCTCTCATTTGTTGCGGTGTATAGGCAGCTGTCTTTCTCTTCTTTAGGGTGTATATGCAGCTCTTTATTTGTATTTATGTTGCTATTTAAACACAGGTGTTTATTTGTGTTTATTTTAGGGTGTATATGCAGCTGTTTCTTTACGTTAGATATACATACATACGTACACATATAAAAATCTATATAATATATATATATACATGTATATATACATACATGCATATATATATATATTTACATACATATATACATATTTATATATATATATATATATGCATTCATACGCATTAGTTTATACCTTAACATATGCATAAAATAATGCACTAGAAAAGATAAATAATATATTTTCTTACCTATTTTCAATCGGCTCTCGAATAATAAAACGCATGCAAAGTGCTTCGGGGTTAAGAAGAAGTTTCTCGTTGGCTTTCACGACAATTTGCTGCAACTCCAAGTCGCTCAATTCGTCACACTCAGCTGCACGTACACCCCAAATAACAACTCAGAGCCCCTTCATACACTCATATAATTATGCATGCATGCATGCATGCATGCATACACTAGAAGGTATGCGTTACAATGCATGCATATACTAGAAGACATACACTATAATGCTATATATATATATATATGTATGTATCTGTTTATACATATATCCGTATACATATATGCATAAATATATAGATAAATAGATAAACATATACATATATATATATATGTGAATAAATAAAAGATATATAAATGTATATATATATATAAAGATATAAATAGATATTAGGCTGACGTTTGAGTGCAGATCTCCTTTTAAATATTTCTTTCGCGATTGTCTCTACTTGTTGTTTGTCAACGGCACCCATATTATAATTCCACGCACTCGAACCCGTACCTGCACATACACCCCAATCAAATAGAAGCAGCACCGCATGCATGCATGCATGCATGCATACATCCCAATCAAATAGAAGCAGCGGCATTTGTTTCTGCATGCATGCATGCATACACCCCAATCACGTAGAAGCAGCAGCATATGTTTCTGCATGCATGCATGCATGCATGCATGCATGCAGAAACATACGCTGAAGCAAGTAGAAGAAGCAGCACATGTTTTTATAGTAGAAACAGCAGCGAGAAATGAAGTGCTGCATGCATGCAGCACTTCTTTTGTTAATTTAAATGCCCCTCTGCTATTATAAAACAACAACGCATGCATATACACCCCAACTGCATACACTGCAAATCCATCTACACGTACACCCTAACACCATGAAGCTTGATTTATACTATCTTTTTCTTTTATTGTCTCTGCTTATACTCAAAGATCTGCTGCTTCTGCTGCTGCTGCTGCTGCTAAGGATACAACTGCTGCTGCTGCTATTACTACTGCTGCATCTGCTGCTACTGCTGTTGCTTCCACCGCTGCAGCATTTAGTACTGCTTCTTGTTGCTGGTGCTTCTGCTTCTGCTTTTGCTGCTTCTGCTGCTGCCATTGCTGCTGTTGCTGCTTCTGCTGCATCTGCTGCTGCCGTTGCTGCTACTGCTGCTACTGCTGCTGCTGTTGCTGCTGCTGCTGCTTACCTGTGGATACGAGTACACCTGAGCTTTTATATCTTCGGGTGTCTCCATCAATTGAAATGTCTGCATAAAGGGCCTTAGCTACATTTGCTTCGGAGACAAAGACATCATTAACAGACAGAAAAGGAAGCTGTAGTTCGATAATATCTTCATTTAAATAAACTTTTCTGTCTTCTTCTCTCTCCGATGCAGCAGCAACATCAAAACTTAAACCTTCAAAACAAGGGCCCCTAACACAGGGGGCCCCCCTCCCCCCACCTCCACCACCAAGGGGCCCCCTCCCCTTACTCCATCCTAACATAACAGGGGCCCCCCCCTCTTCTTCTAAAGGGGGGCCCCCTCTAGGGCCCCCAGGGGGGCCCCCTCTAGGGTTCCCACTGGGGCCCCCAAGGGGGGCCCCCCCTTGATGTTGGGGGCCCCCTTCGGGGAGTTGATGAATTCTTCTGGATTCATTATGCAGCAAATTTGCTTTAACAAAGGGGCCCCTATAAGGGGCCCCCGTTTGATGAGGGGCCCCCCCTTCAGTGCTGCTGCTGCTGGTGCTGCTGCTGTTGCTGCTGCTGCTGGTGCTGTGTGGCGCAGCCTGTGAATGAGGAGCAACAGCACTTAGCTGCTGCATTACTTGCTGCTGCATGCACTTGGGAAAGCGAAAGACAAGACGGATGCGCTGACGAGCAACAAGATGTGCTCCACCCTGCAGCAGGTGCTGCAGCGTGCGGTGTACATACATCTCAACATCTGCTGCTTCTTCTTTCCCACTTGTTGCTGCTGCTTCTCTATCTCCTTGGGGCCCCTTAGGGGCCCCTGATACACCTGATGGTGGGGGCCCCGGCGAGCGGGGGGTTTGGAAAAGAAGAGGGGCCCCAACAGCAATAGAACCCTGCTGCTGCTGCTGCTGCTGCTGTTGCTGCTGCTGCTGCCGTTCTTGTTCCCTCTCCTGCTGCTCCTTCTCCTCCCACTCCTTCTGCTCCCCCTCCTGCTCCTGCTGCTGCTGCTGCTGCTGCTGCTGCTG